TTTTTTGTGTTAGGCACTATTTTTTTATGATGTAAAAGAATTATACAGGCTATTATTTGCATGTTTAGGGAAAAAGTAGATGTAAATGGGTTCTTCCATATTCATTGCCACTGCTAGTACAATTTTTTTATGAATTTGTGTATAATTTTGCTTTATGTTTTTGTTTCTAAATACATATAAAGGAAAAATGTCTTCTGGATATATATTGCTATCACTTTACCCATCTGAATAACATTATGTTGATATGAATTCCCATTATAAGTATGTCATTTTATATAACAGCATATCTCACCTTTACAACAAAACTATCCGTTTGAAAATCCGATGAAAATTGACCAAGTTATGGTTATTTTAATAGTAAATGCACCATTTCCGTTCATGTTAAGAGTGGGAGTTCTGTCTGTAGCAAGATGGCCGCCGTGTGACGACGTCTGTCTCCATTGGCCAATAGCGGACACGACCTATCAAGCCTTTCTGAACCTGTGCTCCTTGCAGCGCCGGTCCATCCTGTACCACTGTCCTATGGCTATGGTTACTGTCACTTTAAGAAAGTTCAGAGTTCACGTTGCACGTGGTCAAATCAACATGGCGGCGCTGTGTGCAGGAGTTTAGTGAGATGACAGAATCGAAACTTGCGTTTTGAAGGTAAGGAAATTATTCTCTTAAATATAAAAATATTTTCTTATAAAATATAAATTATATATTTTAAATAAATATTTCTGCTGCAGATATTGTTGTTTATTCAGAATAGCAAAAAGTAACTTCATTATTTCCACCTCAGCTTTATTTATCCAAACATTGTAAAGTTTTGCAAGTCTAGTCAGACAACCTGTATATATGTCAGAGTAATTTCAGTTCTTGCATCGCATTTTCACAGGACAGACTTAAATTTTGAAAGGTTTTGGTGGATTACTTCAGCCTTCAAGATGCAGCCACTGAAAACTGACCTTAATACACAAAATTGTAAAAGTGAGTCACACACAACCACCTAAAGTTTGTTGTGGTAGGAGCTGAAACACATCCCTGCTATATATTCTGAACACAAACATATTGCACAAGATCTTTGTTTATAATTATGCCATAAGTGATTGCAGTTGCTTGTCTGTTAGTAAAAATATACTCTAAACTATTGGGCATATTTTAATTAAACTTTCAGGAAGGAACCACTATATTAATTTATGGCTAATTAACTTATGGCTTCCTGGGCCAACTCACTTTAGAAAGCAGAAACATGGCTTTTGATTCATGTCATGCTGAAATTTGGTGTAGTTGCAACTGAGTCATTTATAACAAACTCTACACAGAAATAGTCACAACTCTTATTGGTATCATCAGATTTCCAGATATTGAACTAAAATTAAACTCAGAGTCTTGTGAAATTGTAGGAGTCGTTAATTCTTTATTGACAGAAGCTGCTGTGTCAGTGTTGAAAGATTTCTGTCCTCCTCAGCGCCACTTTTCTCATGGGGTTACTCAGGGCTCGACTCACGGACCTCTCCTGTTCTGATTGTACCTGCTCCCCTTTTCTGAGAAAACATGGCATCTTTCTTCATCACTATGCGGATATTGTCTGTTGCTGTTGTCAAGATGTTTTAAGAAATCTGTTTTTCTTTTTCCAGCAGAGTGATGGCAGACGTTGATAGCAATCCTGCATCTGATGCAACGCCCTCAAAGGAGGAGGAGCCTGGTGGTCCTTCTCAAGACTCCCAGAACAACACTCCTGTAGTTGATGTTCAAGCTGTCGGCAACAGCGAGGCAGCTCCTGACAAGTATCGCTACATCAAGGATGACCTCTTCACCTCAGAAATCTTCAAAGTGGAGATCAGGAACCTGCCCAGGTTCATCGGCTTCAACGACCTAAAGAAGTTCCTGGCCAAACACGGGATCAACCCGCACAAAATCAAGCTCATCGGCAAGCAGACGTTTGCTTTTGTCACGTTTAAGAACGAGGAGGAGCGGGACAAGGCCATGAAGATGGTCCACGGCATGCAGTGGAAGGGCCAGGTGCTCAGCGTCAGGCTGGCCAAGCCCAAAGCAGACCCCATCCTGATGAAGAGGAAGCAGGAGGAGGGTGAGGGCGCAGCGGGGCAGCCGGCTTCCAAGAGAAGCGAAGGGGGCGAGGAGGCGGAAGAGGAGCCTCTCAGTGTTCAGATCGCCAATGTGGTGACTCCTCTGTGGAACGTGCCTTATGAGGAGCAGCTGAGGAGGAAGGAGCAGGAGGTGGTGGCGGTTCTGCAGAGGTTGGCCAAGTAGGTGGATATTTTATAGCAGCGATGTCAGGTTTTGACCAGTTTAGCAAGTAGTTTGTGTTTACTTTCTGTTTAATCATACCGTTTCATTTCAGAGAGATTGGCAGCACCAATAAAGCCATGTTACCGTGGTTGTTTGCACAGAAAGGAAAATTCAACAAAATGTGTTGTCCTCTTGAAGCTATTCGGCCGTCTCCAACACAGGTAAGCATCCACAGAATTTTAAAATGGAAACAGGCATTTACGTAGTTTGTAGACATGAAATAACCAAATCAAACTGGTCCTGACATCACACTGCCTGTCATCTATTAGCTGCAGTGATTACCCCCAATTTACACTACATGTGTTCCGTCTCCGCTCCGCTCCGGTCCGACCTCCGCAGCAAATACGCAACCATTCTAATCAATGAATGTGTTTACACTGGCTGCGCACGGCGCCACAGGGCGGCGGCGAGCGGACGGCGATCTGGCAAAATTAGAACAGATTCTATTTTTGCCAAACGCCAGAGCTGCTCCGGAGTCAATCTACAGAGATCACATCGCACCAACAGGAAAAGGAACAAACACAACATCCGTATTTTCAAAATAAGACACCATAAGGCGGAATAATTTGTCGGAATAATGTCGAAATCCCAGTTATATTAATAAATATATGGATATATTTCTACACAAATGCTGTCAGAATGTATCCTTCTGTTTGGGAAGCAGTTGGCAACATGTAGCATGAAGCATATGTACACACACGATACACCTGGATTTCATTTTGAAATCAGAAGTTTCAAAACGTTRGTAGCAATACAGTTTCAACATAGATATCAAAAGCTTTTATATCTATGTTTTCAGCTGTGTTTGGAGTTCGTCTTTCACAGAATTCATTAATTTTTGCTCTGACTTCTAAATTTATCACTGGATTTATTGYGCGATCTGCTTCTTGCACACACTTCCTCCTCTGTGTGTCGCACTGGAGCGGAGCTGAGTAGACGCTGTATAAATTGGGACACAAACGAACAGCTGCGAACTGCGCACCGCAGCGCAGCGGAGCCGCATATAGTGTAAATCCAGAGTTAATTACCAACAGGTAATGGGTGAGATTTTGGGGACACCCTGGAAAGTTTGGTGCTCCATCACAGTCCTGTTAATATATTAAATGTGAAAGTTTATTACATCACAAATAGTTAAACTGAACCAGTATGATTTGTTTTCAGTACAGTTTAGGTTTACAAACTTGAATAATAAACAACATATCTGCAGTCCAGTCTGTGCCCATTGGAGAGCTGAGACCAAAGTAAATATGTTTGGACACAATACAGAGTAGCACATTTCATAAATCTCAATGCAGAGTATTAACACAAATGCTTCATACCAACTTCAAAACACTGTGGTGGAGAGATGGGGATTTTGACTCGCTTTGCTGCTGCAAGATTTGAAAACCTCGCAGTCATCTACAGCAGACAGCTGATGTTTGGTATCCTTTTAATCTGTGCAAAAAAATGTCTACAAACTTCAATTAATTGAGGCAAGATAAAAAAACCTCAAAAACTGATTGGTCATAAAGAAAATGATTACTCAGTTTTGTTGGTAAAGGTGGCTCTTTTTCTTCAAATAAGACAGCAAGGATAAGACAATTTTTAATTTTTTTTTTCATGTTATCATACATAAAATACACTGTACAAAACTTTTTTGTCTACCACCCCACCCAAAGAACAGCACCCCCTCCCCTTTGTACCAAACCAAGAGGTTTGAAAAGATGATCAGTACATTTCTGTACTTATTGTACATTTTTACTACTCCTCTGAAATTGAGATTAGTGAGGGATCCATCTGCCTAATTTGAACCAAAACCATTTGTCAGACATCAAATAGCCACAGCTTCTTGTAGCATATCTTTTTATTTACCGCGGTCACACTGTGTAGAAGGTCAAACTACATTTTAAAAGTTGGAGAGAACTTGTCTTCCCATTTGAGGCCATGAGGTTTTTGTTATTTTGATTAAGGTGAAAATGCTGCAGCACAAAACCAAATACAGAGATTGTGGCATCAGGTGCTATGATTGTCTCCAATGCATTAGAAATAAATTTAATTCCAAAAATCTTCAATTTTTTTAAATGTTGTTGCACTTTAAACCTTTAAACTAAAAGATGCTGTACTTTTGTTTTACGACTGTACACTTATATYTTAGTATTTGTCTTTATAGTATTTACATCGTTTATTTCTAAGGATTGATTAGTTGTTCAGCAATAAAGGCACTTATCCAGAAACATCAAATGACTAGAGGCCTAATATTCCTTGGAGGAATGCATATCACCCGCCAYCTTTCATGACACGAATGTTAACATAAGACATCTCACAATATGTTATTGTTCAGAGTATATGATGAGGATGACTCTCAGCTACTGCCATATAAACTTTATAGCATTATCTGTTATTTTGAGTAASTTGTAGATATTTAGGTATTTAGCAAATGTTCTGTTGCAACTAACTTGAACTGTGCTTCAAAAGTCAATCAGCTGAAGACGTACAGTCATGAAAAAATATTAATGGCATCCTTTGAAAGTTAGGTTTTTTTTTACGTCTTTGGACAAAACAGTGTACTGTCACACTATAATGTTTTATACAACTTGTGCTAATTWATGTAAAGAATTTCCAACAATAAATGTATCCACAATGAAAAAGGTTTTTAGATTAGATAACCTATGAGGAATTTATTCATAACAAACTTTTCATAAGTCAGTATAAGTTATCTAAAACTTTATACTGTGACACTTATATTTAAATAATTTAAATAATGATTGAAACAACACAGAAAGATCTACTTAATTAAAGATTAATCAGTAAAAGAATGTGAGTTTCTGTTGTGTTACTTGGACAAAAACAAGGTTATGTGAATATTTCTTAATAACAGATCAATATTTAATAGGGTGTCCCAATTCTGTGACAGCTGTACATCCAATGATTACTTTCTGAACATTTAATTCAAATTCATCCATTGGTTCATGACAAGCACACACAAACAGAAACAGCAGAATGTAGTTCTTTTAACTGGTTCATGTGTAGTTTTTTCATGTGTTGTTTGACACCTTCACTGCACTAATGAATTCTTCTGATCCTGTTTGTGTTGGTGGCAGACAGAGTACAGAAACAAGTGTGAGTTCCTCATCTCCGTCGGGGCAGACGGTGAGGATAAGACCATCGGCTTTCGTTTGGGGAAGTATAAAGGAGGCTCCTGTGCTGTGGTGGGGCCAGCAGACACCTGCCATGTTTCAGCAGAGGCCAAAAGGGTGGTCAGCGAATTTCAGAAGTTTATCAGGTATAGAAAAAGCATTTTTATGGGYCGAATCRTTGATGGAGATTAAAAAGTTCGAACCCAGACAGCTACAGTAATAAATTCCTTTGTTTATTTTCCTGATGACTTTGTAAACAGGACAACACCATACTCTGTGTACAGTCCTGAGACGTACGAAGGACACTGGAAGCAGCTGACTGTTCGCACTACAAGGACCAAACAAGCTATGGCTGCTGTCTTCTTCAACCCACAGGTGAWGAGTCATCCTCACTTTACCTGCACCTGATGAACTGTGTGATCCCTTCCTGTAAATGTCATTTATTCTCTTAGAAACTTGAAGAAGAGGAGCTCGATGCCCTGAAGAGCTCTATGAAGAAGTACTTCACAGAAGGAGAGGGCAAAGAGAGTGGCGTGACCTCTTTATACTTTGTTCGAGACGGTCAGAGGTGAGTAAACACACACTGATGCTCAGCGGTTCATCCRTGGAGCTGAGCTACATTTGTGTTTCTATCTGTGAAGAAAATCTGCCAACCTGGAGGATCTGCCCTGCGAGCTTGTAGYCGGGGAGAGCTGCATTCAAGAGGAGCTTCTCGGTCTGACMTTCAGGATTTCTCCTCACTCCTTCTTCCAGGTATGAAGCAGCAGTGAGTTTTATCATCACACAGAACGGGACTGCTCCAGTGTTTTCATCATGTAAAGCTCTTTGAATTGTCCCGTCACTGAAATGTGCTGTGAGTAACTGTGTCTTACCTGGAAGGTGAATACAGGCGCTGCAGAGGTGCTGTACTCAGCTGTGGGCGAGTGGGCCCATCTGGATCAGGACAGCACAGTCCTGGATGTGTGCTGCGGGACAGGAACCATCGGCATCTCCCTGGCAAAAGTAATCCTTCCTTTCAATAAAATGTGGACAGTGTTCACAAAATATCTTTAATCAAAGTGATATTCCAAATGATTCGAGGGGTTCAGTCATTTTATTATTATTATTTGTTTGGTCATTTCTATCTCATGTTGTTGAAATATTTATTGAAGAGTAGAATGAAAGCTCTCCAAGTTCATCGCACTGAAATATTTTATTTTAATTTCCAGAGAGTAAAAAGGGTGATTGGGATCGAGATGTGCCAGGAAGCAGTGGAGGATGCCAGAGTTAACGCCAAGCTCAATGGTAGGGCACCAGACAGCGTCACACATGCAGCATGTTTAACATGACTTATGAGGCCCAAATACATCAGACGCAGGAGGGTTCGGATTATTTTCCTCTTTGTAATCTGAAGGCCTGAGTAACATCGAGTTTCACTGTGGAAAAGCTGAGGATGTGTTCTCCAACGTCCTCAATGCTGTTGTCTCACCCAACATCACCGCCATTGTAGATCCACCAAGAGCAGGCCTGCGTGAGTCCAGTACAGTCATCAAAACAAACAAAAAATCCAACCGGTTTTAAGATCTGTTGCATTAAGAGATGTTTTCTTTAACAGATTCCAAAGTGATCCTTGCCATCAGGAGAGCAGAGCATCTAAAGAGGCTTGTTTACGTTTCATGCAATGCCAAGGCAGCCATGACCAACTTCATTGAGTGAGTTTTAGTTCCTAGTTACTGAAAGTTAGTTATACTGGTATGTAGTTTWTAGTTCCTCATCGGCCATTGTCAAACTTTGTTTTTCAGCCTGTGCAGGGCTCCTTCCAACAGAGTTCACGGAGCGCCGTTTCGTCCGGTGCGAGCGATGGCCGTGGATTTATTTCCTCAGACGATGCACGTTGAAATGCTTCTGCTGCTTGAGAGAGTGGACTACGACTCCCAGCAGCTGCAGGCTCCCTCAGTGACAGGCTCTGAATAGTTAAATGTGTGCACACAAGTTAGTTAAAAAAATACCTTTTTTTATAAATTATATTTAAAAGGTTAGTTGCATATAGTTTCTCAAGTGTTCTGGCCAGATAAATCACCTTTACGTTASAAAATATTCTTGTTTTGATTCATGAACGTTACTTCTGTTCAGTGAACTCATACAAACTGTACTATGACAAATAAAGACTTACACAAACTGAAACAAGCACTTGTAAATGTTACAGACATGGTCAGATTTGTTTGTTCCCTTGTGTTAAAGAGAAGCCTGAAAGATCAGTGAAATAACCCAAAACAGTTATAAAATGACAAATTTAGTAAATAAATAAATAAATTAAAATTGTAATGGCATTTGAATTTTAGTTCACCAGTATTAAACTAATGGAACTGGCAACAAAACAAGAATAGTACCCTTAATTTTAGCACAGCTTTTTTGAGGCGATCATTACAATCAGTGGTGGACAGTAACAAAGTACTTTTACTTTATTACTGTAATTAAGTACATTTTTTGAGTATCTGTACTTTAC